TTGCTCTCTTCAGATTAACGGAGAGGCAGTGGAGCAGGTGGAGAAGTTCAAGTACCTCGGAGTCGTGTTCACCAGTGATGGGAAATTTGTGGAAAAGATCGACCGACGAATTGGAATACCTAGTGGCGTTCTGCGTGAATTAGCGCGAACCACTGTGACTAAAGCAGAGCTGAGTCTGAAAACAGCTCTCAGTATTCAAGTCGGTCTTTATCCCTATGCCTACATATGGATATGAGTCATGGACTATGACAGAATCTTCGATCCCGTGTACAAGTGGTTGAAATATCTTTCTGAGACCAGTCGTTGACCTTACGAATTTCGATTTATGTCATAGTTCATTCGATTTACGTCATAGTTCGATTTACGTCATAGTTTACGTCATAGTTCATCCGCCAGGAAGTTTGTGTAAAGCCGCAGCTTCAGATTGAGAAGTCACATCTGCGATGGTGTGGGTACGTTTTGCGAATGCATCCGGAAAGAAAGGCTAAGCAACTGTCTCTTGCTAAACTGATCGGTAGAAAGCCCAGGAGAGATGACCTGATTATCCTGTTGCAGATATATTGAAGGAATCTTTTCCACTTGTGTTGTGCCGAAGGTCAGACTTGCACAGAATCGAGAACGTTGGAAGTACTGTCTGACATGTCTGCCTCCGAGACCCTAAAGTAGAAGTGGTCAAAGAAGATGGACAGGAAGAGAATACATTAAGAATAGTTATGAAGTTAGTCTGTCGCTTATTCCAGTGAGTTTTTCACTGTTCTTCTTCAAACGTGTCCGTTAGCTGCTGATACTGTTTGTTGTAATAGTTACCTTGAACGCATTTGCTGAACATCTCTGCTTTGAAATTCAGACTCTATGCCAGTCTTTCGTTTACGTAATTAGCTTTCAGTTTTTTTTCTGTACGATTGTTATTTTTAAGTTTACCAAGCTTAGAACTCACGCAGGCAAATTTTGGATCATTGTCGGTATTAATGTCTGAAATGGTTTGATGAATTTTTTTCATACAGCTTGTACTTACTGGACCGACTGGTCGAATATGCTTGGGGAGGTCTAAGAATAATCTGGGGCAAGTGGTTAAACAGATTTTATTGCAAGCTGTAGTTATCCTCTTCGGAAGCTCATGTACTGATGCAGGGTCAGAAATGTTGTAGACTGTCTGGCGCTGTTGTCTCTGCGACCAGAAAGATACATGGCCTGCCGTTGAAACTGTTTAACTGAAAATTTCATTACTCAGTCTACCTTCCAAGCAAAAAATGAAGATTAATAGTAAGGTATATCGCAGGTACACAAAGTGCCTGACAGGTGTACTCAGGAAATCCAGACAATGTATTATCTTTCTCGCCATATGGATTATCGCGGCTTGGCCATTCTGGCATAGTAACGCTTCTGAATCTCGTACATCCGGTTTAGCGCTGCACTCGATTATGTACTGCACCTGTCATTTTATTAACTTTGAAACTGATTTGTTGCCATTTCCGAATAAGATGCTTGTCCCGATTTTCTGCATCGTAAACGGCGCTTCAGAATATGCTAACTGTGTAATTCTTTTAGTTATTGTTACCTTTACTCAGATCAGCAGCTTTGCATAAACCAGGTGAAATAGCGGATTTAATATGGAAAACCTAATCTGCTGTAAGAGTTCAAGCACAGACTTTATTTATAAACTCACGCTATTCTATGCAACTTTTTATGATTTCGTAGTAAAGTGAAAGTTGCTAATTTTGGTATATAATGATAAGAGAAATTGAAACGAGATCGTGTATACCCCAGTGAAATTAGCGACTTAACGTTGAAAGATAGTTGATATAGGGGAACTCAACCTTTCTGAGACAACATGTCCCGCCTGCCTGCTGATTTCCTCATCGTCGTGCCTGCATAATGCACTATTTACATTTTGTAAAAAGGTCAATGGTAGATTCTTCATGCCCCCGCCAGTCAGGTTCGACATTATTAGACTAGCGCGCTGGACTTTCCTCTGCATTGCCGTGATCAGTGGGTTCTCTTTATTGTTAAATATGACAGCTACGCTGCCTTAGGAACAAATTTATGTTTGAGATATGGTGTATGCGTTCACGCAGTATTGTTGCCGTGTATTAAAATCAGATTTAAAATCTTATTTTAGGCTGGGAGTATATCGTGATGCCGGCCAGTAAAGAAGAGCTGAAAGTCAGGTCATATGGAGACAATTTTTCTTGGAGCCGGCGAACCAGAGTAGCCACGAAGTGAAGATTGCCGTTATAAGCGTTTTAGTTTTAATTTTCTTCGCAATAAATTTTTCAAACTCCTGTGGCTTGTATTTGCTGCCCGTAGTTTTGCTGAAATATACTGTTTTGACGCCTTGGTTCTGAATCTTTAAGTAGAGCTTCAGAAGAATGTCGTTTGCGTTCGTGAAAGATCCGGCGTTGCGGAAGTTGGTTTCTCCGCAGCATTCTACGATACAAAAGGTGAATGGTGCACGTTGAACGATATTTTATGAATGAATCTTGTTCGAGATTTAGCTTCTTGACGAAAATTCACAGCTACTTCAGTCGGTGGTTGAGTACCAGAACATTGGACATCTACATGAGGCTGCACAGTAAAACTTTTCTTCGTTTGACACGATGATGCATCTTTGGTTACTCTTCCAGGTTGATACAATTGCTACACAGAAATATTGTACACCTAGCGTCATTGGCCGATGTGAGCGAAAGCGTGATGAATGAACTGCAGGTAGAATTTCGCTTTATAACTGAACGTTGGATGGCACTTTTGTTGAGGCCCCTGTTGAAAGCGCAAGCAGTGTGCTCCGGCAGCAGCAGCCCGGACAGCATACAAGAAGCGATGCAGAGGTAGCAGGTCAGAACGCTGAGCACGCAGCAAAAAGAAGCGAACCAGGTTTGTGGTTTTGGTTTACTGTCGCAGACTAGGCAAATGCTGAGGGAAATTCGCGAAGCTAGTGCTCAGTCTCCATTTGATTAATTGCTTTCGATTCGAGTATTTTGAATCATGAAAACTTGTTTTGATAACATGCTTACAGCAAAAGCCATTGGGTTAAATTTTTCAGATTCAGTAGATTTATAACATTAACATATAACAGACTTGTATCGTATATTCATCGACAGCCTTTGTCGATTCGCTGCTGGCTACGTAGTCTGCAGTTTATCAGTAATTTTCAGGGTTGGAATTTACTTTATGCATCCGTAGGTCAGCATTGGAAGCATGCTTATCTAATACTTTCCGCTTGAAGCTCACGTGCAGTTTCTGCGTTGTATTAAATAATGCCTTCTCTTCTTATCACTACTTTGTTTTAGGCCTATCTTCTTGGACTTAAGGGGCCACAAAACTGTGACCCAAAATCAGGTAATTCGAGAAATATTTGACTGGGTTAGTCTGTTGATTCATTTCGTTGATAATCATACCTTCCCCCAATAATATGGAAAACTTCGGGTTGAATTCTTTATCTAAAGCTATCGAACTGTGATTTTTGTTAAACTTATTTCTCTCTGTCCACGTTCATCAAGAAAGAATACAGATCATAATATAACCAGGATTACGAGTCGCGAAATTTCCTGCTTTTTCACTGATGTTAGCTGTGAAACCAAAAGCAATTTCGCGCCAATGAAACTACGACGCGAATTACATGTTGAGCGTTTCGATTCGAAAAGTTTAAAAGCACTAAGTTCATATAAAACCAATGCTAGTTTATGTTTTGGAGACGCTGTAATACAAGAACACAAGAAAAATGAAACATAAGATCAGCGGCTGAATATCACTGAATAAAAAATACCATCATTGGAGTCGATGTCTCTATGTGTACAAAAACAGGTCAAATGCTAGTAAAAATTTTAATGTTTATGTATTGATTTTTTTGTATCAACTATTTGAGTGAAATAAACCTACGCAGTCGTACCCATTTGATAATTGGTGTACCGCTATAATGTAACTACAGAATGAGAAGATAACTGTCATTGCGGTCTTCGCTATCTGTTAGGTGACTGTTGCGATTTCCTCAGCAGTCGATATCATATCGTAATGGAAGAAAGTCTCTTGGTGCTATACTGAAACCAATGTAGTTGCCTGCTTAAGATCTGGTTTCTCAGTGGTTATACAAAATTTTTATAGAAAGTGTCTACGGGCAGACGGATTGTACGAATCAGAGTACAACAACGCATGCTAATTCCAATGTGCAGTCGAATCCATCCGTTCTGCAGCAACAGTTACAGCAGAATCAAGGCCAGAGTCCGATGGTATCGCAGTCCAGTGCTGGGCAATACATTGCCCGCGAACAGCAGCAGCAGTCAGTGCCGCAGATCTACTATTCACAGCAGTATCAACAACAAGCACAATACGGTCAAAACTACCAAGTGGCTCCGAGACCTATCCAGTCGCAGTCTGTGCAAAATTATTTTAACCAAGCGAACATGCCACAGGCACGAATGCAGTACGCCATGCAGCAACAGCAGCAGCCGAACTTAGCTTTCCAACAGCCATCCGGCGGGGAAAATTCTGCCTCTACCTCAACATCGTATAGCGCCGTACAGCGAACTGCCTATCAAACTCACGTAGGTGGCTACGAATCGCACCAGATGCAGCCAAACAACGACGCTGACCAGGCTCCTGGACCTGGTCAGATGATCGTCACAGCAAGTGATATGAACGTTTGCCATCAGCCAAATCCGTACCGTTCGGTTCCGCTCTACCAAAACTACCCTCAGCAGCAGCAGGCGCAAAGTATGTACAATGATGTCGGCAGTCGGTAAATTTTTTGGATGCGCCTTGTGGAATTCGCAGATATCTCAGTATATCTCTTGAACGGTTTTAAGGAATTCAGTTTCTTAACACTGAATGGTAATCGGCCTTCAGCTTATCTGTGAGTATTTTACTTACAACACGTCTGACTTTCTAAATATTTTTCAAAGTTTCAAAACCTGCAGCTTAGTATGTAGCTTATTTTAAAAGAGCATAGTCGCCTCTTTTAAGTACTGTTAAAAATCAGTGACGTGTATGGAAACGATATAAAAATTTCTTCTTTATTTTCTGTCATTTTAGTGTTAAATATATTAACATCTGAACGGTTGAAAACATGTCACTTTTACTCATTGCGTCATCGTTTTATCCGTCTTCTCATTTCTAAGCTAGAAGCGCTACACTCATGGGTCAGTGTATTCTTCAGTATGACTGGTTAATTACATATCATTTCTGTAACAGTAAGAGAAACTGACAGCCAGTTAGAGTAACATGAACACGCTGGGTTTCAGTACTAATTGTTTCTGTTAAGAACGGTAAACGTCGCTGTTTTTGCTGACAGTGCATAATGCTACGTCGAAGGTACGAGACAAAGCTGCCAGGACACTTTATCTAACGCGCTGCAAACAGAAAGTCAAATATTTCGACGAAGTTCTAAAAATAGCATCTGATAAGGCGCCTGAAATTTTACACTTCAGAATAAACTTCGAAAAACAGTTACAAAAAACCACACCAATAAATCAGATAAGACAAATGAACTATAAAAGTTCTTTTCCGTGAATGAGCGCAGTTGAGTCACTTTTCAGAGTTTCGGAGTCGAAATATACGACTGTAACTGTAATATCGTCTCGATATGCACGGGCAGCTCCTTCTCTCAGGCTCAATGTCGCCGCCAAGTTCGCGTACTGAATTTGGCTGAGAACGTCCTCACCCAACGCCTGTCTGATGAGATGTGTAGCACAGTTGGCATCTATTGGTCGTTTTGATTCTCCCTTCTTCCGAATGAGAAGTTCTCGCAAAATCTAGTAAGTATTAGCTTTTACCTGTACAAATAATTTGCACTTATTCTAATCAGCTTCGATTCAGGTAAAGACACTTTAATATAATTAGAATTTTACTAAATTTAGATTGTATGAAGTACGGCGGAAACTTTTAAAGTATTGCCATGCATGAATTTTCAGGTTTACTTCATCAATTCCAGACCTAGATAGGTGTGAATGAAAGAATTAGGCCATCTGTCCGTATTAATTCTCATAGTCAGCAAGATGGCATCTTTCGTCGTGAAACACCCTCTGAAGCAAAGACCGTGACTCAGGACTATTTAGAATGAGTTTTGGAAGAATCTCACCAGTGAGACTTATCTAACTTAAATCCATTACCCATCATACAATTTAAAACAAAGGAAATTTCACATGAAACTTCATTATATCGTCAATAAAAATGGTCCAAAAATTTGAGGTCTATTACTGCTGTTGGCTACAAGGCAAAGGAGGTGCTTGTATTGGCAACTACAACTTTACCTTATCAATAACACTAGATTTTGAAGCATAGCAGGTATCGACTGGCGAATATGCATCGTATAATTGTACAGAGCTATTATCTGGAAGATACAAGAAGCTATCATGCGGAAATTTAATTCTTGATCAAGATAGTTCACGACGATCATACTGCGCGCTGCTGACATCGTCAAACGCTTTATCGATCCTTAAAGACTACTACAGAGGCGAAAATTATGTAATACATCAATACCAAAAATGAAAGATTCTGTGCAGAGAGATTACTGTGCTGATGGGTAGTGAAGTGGGAAGTGAAGCACACTTGAAACTGCAACTATGCCATATAAACTTGCTGTGAACTATCCTGATGGAGAAAATTGGTCTTCTATATATACATTAACACAATATGGATCATAAATAATGTCAGAAACCGGTGCCGTAAATAACTGAAAGCGACTGCTGATTTTTTAATTAACAGCATAAATACGACGAAATTTTCTTCATTTACCGCACCAACGTTTCAGCATCTGAATGGACATCAGTTCTAAAAAAGTATTGAAACCGTTAATATCAAACATTGTAAAGCCGGTTTGTGTTCGACTCGGTTGGTTAGTTTTACTGCCAGTGTATTATGCAGAAATTTCTAAAACCCATAAATTTTAGAGGAGTTGTATTAAACCTTATCAGTCTCGTTTCGATTGTACTGTTAAGCCTTTTCTGACATTTTTGTTAAAATTAGCGCAATGGTTTCTTCGTCACTTTATCAGGAAAGCCACAACGCTCTATCCACTACCTTAACCTTTTGTCATGCACTCCAAAATCAGTTTGTGTTCATATCAAGAAGCGCACATGTTACGGGACTATGTACTTAAGTACTGCACGAAAGATGTGAGGGTAAGCTTTTGCCATTAGCATTTAAAAAACGAATATACGAAACATTTAACAAACTATTTAAACGCCCAGCGGACACTACCTGCCTCCTTGATTGTAATTTTCAATTTCATTACCTTATGCATAAAGCATACTTAACTGCTTCCATCATAGACTGATACTGATTCAATCGAAAGGCTTGTATCAAACAAAAATCACTAAGTTGTGCTGCCATGAAATTTGAGTAAAAAAGCGGTTTCCAAATGGAACCGATTTCATACTCTGTCATGTTCAATAATTGGTGCTGTTTATGGTACCTGTAGAACGTGCGATACAAAAAGGTTATACTTCATGAATTAAAGGTTTTGGTGGACAAAGCAACAGTCGGTAGCAATGAAAGAGAAAGTTTACTGCTTCAACAAGATCGATCTTGTTTGAACATTGATACAGCTCAACAAAGTTGTACTCTAGGCACAACTAAGAAGACAGACGATGGTGAACAGATGAGACATGAAAATGAACAAAATTAAAACTAATCTATGGTACGAGGATAGCGTACAACTGAAATGAAGCTACGCATGATGCCATTTAACAGCGAACCACTGAACAGATGACATTTCAGTTCCTCCACTACCTGAAATAATATTTCTGCAAACTGAAAGAATTCCAAAAGCATTCAGTAAATTCTCATTCAGGGTTTTCGTCTCGCTCAACGGCTTCTCACCAGCGTATGTATTTCGCTAATTCTAGATAGAGTGACATTTTCATACTTCAAAAATAACGTGTAATTGCATGAATTAAATAAACTATAAATAATATAGAAATAATAGTAGTAATACCTGTCTCACATTCGCATTTGCAGATCTGACATAAGGACTGAGCGTCTGCACACCGGTCATGTGATCTCGAACGATTCGCACAGCCTTTTCAGGACCCATCAATTCCCAAAAGCCGTCAGAGGCAATGATGAGAAACCGATCGACTGGCGTTAATCGGTAATAATATACTGAAGGCACGGCAGACAAGTAAGGTGGAGTAATGAGGT